AACATTTTTTCTTAAAAAACGAGAGCTACAAATTTTTTCTTTCCACAACAAATTTTAAAGTTAAAAGCTACAATTAATGCCGTTATAACATTTTCGATATCTCAATTCTTTCGACTAGGTGTAGGCAGGGTGGGCAAAAACTCGGAGTTCGAGCGAGCGAGTGAGCAAACTCGTACTCAATGCCTCGCAGACAACGAGGCGCTCGCAGCTCGTACTCGTAGCAGCACTGAGGCGAGGCACGAGAAGTTTGGCTCGCTCGCCAAACGAGCGAGCGCTGCTTGTTTGCTCGCGCTCCTATTAAATTAGCGAGGCTGTTGGGTGTTGCCTCGCTCGCAGTGCGAGGCGAATAGCTGTCTGCATACTCACTCTGCTAGGAAAGACGAGTGAGCGACGAGCGAGCGCTCCGAGTGTACTATACAACACATGCATTTTTGTGCATAAAAATGTGGGAATGTATGTCAATAGATTATGTACGAAAGTATGTTAATAATTGTATGTACATATGCATATATATATGTTAAGTATTATATTAGGGCAGCATTTAAAACAACAAATAAAATTGATTACATACATAAGCATAGATTATGGAATGAATTATTTTTTAGAGTTATATTCATACATGTGTACACACATAACATGCTTATTTATATATGTTTGTATGTACGTATTTATGTATATATGCATTTATATATGTATGTACATATGCATGTATTTTGTCTTTACAAAGAAAAGTAAGTAACGAAGATATTATAATCGTTTGTGCCGCAGAAACAAAAAACAAGTAAGCACTTGTTAACACCCGCAAAATAGTTTTCTACTTGTAGCAGTTATGCTGTATACCTGGATGAAATATAGTCCTTGGTGAAAAAATTTATTTGTCGCCTGTTGTTCAAGGACATGTGTACATATGTATGCTTGTATAAGTTACGGGATTTTCTACTAAAATCCCTAAAAAAATATATTTTTGAAAATTGGGTTGTGTCAACCTTTATTGATAAGCAGCAAGACTAAGGCTAAATTTTACAATTGGAATTACTTAAAAGCTAACTTACTAGCACCGGCCAATCGTTGACGCTGATTCTCTGAATTGCCAAACTGGGCTGCGCGTGTTGACGGTGGCTTCCTGTTGCTGACGGTGCGTCTGGCTTTTGCTGTGGGAAACGTTGTGCAACCCAAGCTGCACTTCCGCTCTTATTATTGTGCTTTTGCTGATCACTCAAAGTGGCGATCAGCAAATGTTAACGTGTTCCATGTTAACACTTCCCCTCTTAAAAACGATCGTCCTCGAGCGTTTATTAAAAATAGGGTAGGTTGTTGAAATTTATGTAAGTATTCTGATCATTTGGGGGCTCCTTGGTTTTATTTGAGTTTATATTTGCCAAAGGAATCTGGTAAGTTTCTGGAATCGGAGATATTATTATTTTGTTCTGGTGCTTTTTCCAAAATTTGCAAAAAATTATAATGGCAATTATTGTGGTTGCAACTGCTCCAAGTGAAAGTGAGCTGTTGGATATTGTTGCTGTTTTGAGGATATTTATTCTTCTTATGTTGTCGATATGGAATTCTTTTAAAGCTTCCAGAGAAAGTAATTCGATTCGATTTTTTTCAATTGGTGCAGGTTGTAGGACTGCTGGAATAGCAGGCAGCGGAATCAAATCGTAATTAATGTAGAATTGATTATTTATCTGTAACGTTGAGTTATGAAAATTAATAAGGTGTGTCCCTGACACATTTTTTTGCATTCCGTCAGTATGTATTTCGCCTTTGAAGCCATTAAGTAGTAATATACCGGGTTTTATCTCTTCAATTTCTTGGATGTGTTGGCCGTTCGTTATGGTGCAAGATGAATTCAAACTATTAATTACTCTAGGTATACAACTACTATTACTTATATTTATTAAATGGGTTTGCTTACAAATTTCAATTTTCTTATAGCTATCGCACAATTTCTTAATTCCATAGGTATCTTTTGTACCTTTTAAAATTTTTTCAAATTCGACATTAATTATGGTTTTATTTTCTTTAACAACTGGTCTAATAATAATTTTTTGAAAATTTTCTTTAATAGTTAGTGGTATTTTTACCAAGTAAAAAATTGTCATATTTTGACTTATTACATTTACATTCGATATTTCTAATGCTTCTTCGGCACTCTTAAATGGTATTTCATCATCTTCTAGTTTTTCTAAAGCAATTTCAATTTCATTTTTATTTAACAATAATGTGTTTAAAATATCTTTCTTTGCCCATTGTATGGCGTACTTTATATTAATCAATTCTTCTTTTATTAATCTTATCCTATTTTGCAAATTGGTGATTGTTTCATTTTCTATGTAAGTGTCTTTCCTTATACTATTAAACAGATTATTTACTATCATACTTATATTATTAATTTTTTCGTTAAAAATTTCGTTTATTAATACTTGTTTATTATTGTTGCCATTGAGTTTATTAAAATTATTGTTTATTGCCTCCAGATCTTCGTGATCGGGGCTTCCGGCAATGTATTTCCAAGCCGTTCCTAAAATGTTTATGGATCGTTTTTGTTGTTTTTTTTTTCGACAGGTTTTATTGTTTCTAAAATTTGCAGAGATTGTGTTAATTCGTGTTTTAATAGGGGGTATAGGATTGTGTCCTTAGGGATGTCAGAGGAGGTGAAACTGTACATGTCCGTCAGGAATTGTTCGTATTTGTTGAGGTCGATTACGTGTATTAGCCTAAAGGCTCCGTTCTGAATTTTGGCAAGTCCGTCATTTATCGTGACTAGTTGTGCAGTAGAGTAGTCGTAAATGTCTATTGATGCGGTTATCGGGAAAATAAGGAGGAATCTGGAAGGGAAAAATTAATTTTGATTTTTTTTTTTTTGTTACTGGGTGAATAAGGAAAAGGAAAAATTAATTTTGGTTTTTTATATTGCTTTTGTGTACTATTCTTCCTGATTCTGTCAGGACGGTTGAATTTCGGTCTTCCCTTATTACTTCTTTTTTAAATTTTTTTGAAATTTTGGATCCTAACCGTTTGTTTATTTTTACGTAGATAGTGTCACCCGGATTATATGCTTTTATGGGGTGCCGGGATTTGTTGTGGTAAGCAAGATCTTTCACCTGCTTATTTCTTAGTTCGGTTATATTTTCAGCCCTAGCCCTTTCGAATTGGCTTGGGTCGGTTGTAACTCTTCTACCAAAAAATACCTCTATTGGTTTCTTTTTTGTAGTTGAGTGGATTGTATTATTGTACTCATAGACGGAGTTGTCGAGGAGTTCTGCGAATGAAGTGAAGCTTCGCTCTGCTTTTAAACAACGCATTATTTCTGTGAGGGTCGAGTGAAATCGCTCTATTTGACCATTCACGGAACTTGCATAAGGCGGTGTTTTAAAAATTTGTATATTTAGCGTATCTTCCAAAAGAAATTGAATGGAAGCTGAATTCAAGGACGTTTCATTGTCTATTACTACTAATTCGGGTACGCCGAACTGGAAAAGTAGTTCACGGAGAGGTTCCTTAACGTGCTCTATGGCTCTCGATCTAAGGATTTTTGTTTGGGCATACTTTGAAAATTTATCTATTGCTGTAAGGACGATATTTCGCTCAGTTATGTAAATATCAATGTGCAATATTTGCCCTGGGAATTGTGGAATAGGGGTTTCTCCTAATTTGGGTTTGGTGGGGTTTCGGTCATATTTATTTTCTTTACAAATTGAGCACTGTTGGATTATTCTATTTATTTTTTTGGTCATGGAAGGAAAGTAAAAATTTTCCAGGATTTGGGTTTTATTTTCTCGACAGTTTCGATGTGGTCTTTTGTGGGTTTTTACAATGATTTCTTTCTGTTCTTGTTCGTTTGTGACATCCTGCACTTGCATTTGTCTAAATCGGATTTTGTAGTTGTTAAAGTGTATTGGATAAATTTCTTGGATTTTTCCCATAATCCTTTCCTCTGTTTTAATACAGTTGACAACGGAAGGATTAAGGTATCATTTCAGAAGGTTCTTTAAAGTTTCGGGGGTATAATCAGGTTCTTCGAAAATGTGTCTGTGGTAAGTAGGGAACACTATTTTAAATTGATATGTTGAGGCTTCGGCTATATTCAAAAAAATTTGGTTTTTGAATACGTTTATTGGTGTTTCTACGGATGGGATTAGGTTATGCGATGAGCTTTCATCGCTGTGTTGGGATACTGATAGGGAATTTATGGGTTCACCTGGCATCCTTGATAGCGCATCGGCTACGACATTAGTTGTGCCAGGTTTATACAGAAGCTCGTGATTATATTCTTCAAGGATGGCTTTCCAGCGCTTCATTTTGGAATTGTTGTTTTTTATTGCTTAGGGCCTGCGTTAGCGGCTGGTGATCCGTGAATATTTTGACTCTTGCTGAGCCGTACAGATAGTTTCTAAAATTGTTCAGGGCCCATATTATAGCTAGGAACTCTTTCTCGTTCGTAGCGTAGGCTTCTTCGGTCTTAGTGAGTGTTCGCGATAGTGATGTGCCGAGTCGAGTCGACTCGAGTTCTGACTCGAGTATTTTAGAAGTACTCACGTACTCGAGTAAGCAAATTATAGTATTCGGATACACAGACTCGAGTACGGGTCTCGAGTACTTATAGTTATCAAACACCGAATTTAGCGTTAAAAAAAATATATATATTTACCAAATACACCACACAACTATTTGCGCAAATACTAATTGGTGAAAATATGAATCAAATAGCATTACGAAAAATTCTTATTTGTACCAATTATTGTTTGCGCAAATACTTGTGTGGCGAAGGCGCCCTATTAGTTTCCATTCACTTTGTATCATATCGACAGTTACCAATTAATCGATACTTATGTATGTAAAAGTTTAGTCGTGTCACCGCCAACATTGGGCTCCAACCGCTAACACTATTGACGGATAAGATGACTGCATTTTTGATTTCATAATAAATACTTTGCCTATGTTATATTATCAATTTCCAATCTTTAACTAACTTTATTTGCAATTGTGTTGACGCAATCATGGCTCCAAAACGTTCGTCTGATATTTGGAATTTTTATAATAAAATTGAAAATAAGAAATTGGAGTGCAGAGAATGTAAAAAAACGTTTGCTGATTTTGGAAATACAACGAATTTGTTGAAGCATTTTAGAAAAGTGCATTCTCTAATATATTTAACATGTATAGAAAAAACACGTAAACAAGATCAAAGCCAAAACAATAATTTGGATTTAGATTCGGTTACATCTAGCAGTCAATCACTAGAAGCAAGGGTGGATAATGAAAATGGAGACCAAGCTCAAGGTGAAGGTGCTCAAAGTCGTAGAAGACCGTTACAGATGACATTTTTATCAAAAGAGGCTGCACAGGTCAATTCAAGGAATGTGAACAGAGAACTAGTTAATATGATCTGTGTAGATTTGCAACCATTGTCTATAGTTGAAGATGAAGGTTTCCGAAACTATACTTACCAGCTAAACCCCAACTATAGTCTGCCTTCAAGAAAAATGCTAGCAGAAAAATTACTACCCCAACAATATGATGTTTCAAAAGCAGCACTAATTGAAATGTTACAGCAGGTGGATTTTGTAGCAGGCACAACTGATTTATGGACATCGGACAGTAATAAAAATTATTTGACTTTGACGATCCATTTCATTTATCAAGGTCAGGCAGAATCTCGGGTATTGGCCACCAAAGAAATGACAGAGTCACATACATCATAAAACATAGCAAGTTTACTGCGCCAAGTACTTGAAGAGGAATGGAAAATTTTTGATAAAGTTGTATGCATTACTACAGATAATGCAAGTAATATGAAAAAAGCAGTAATAGAAATTTTGCAGAAACGTCATCATTCTTGTGTAGCACATACTTTAAATTTAACAGTCTCTGATTGCATGAAAGATAATGAGCAGCTATCTCTTTTAACGGGGAAATGTCGTGAAATCGTTACTTATTTTAAAAGAAGTAATGTTGCGTCCTACAAGCTTCAAGAAATTCAAGAGCAGATGAATTTAGAAAAACTGAAATTACAACAAGATGTTCAAACACGCTGGAACTCTACTTTCATCATGTTTGATAGATTAGACAGAGTCAAGATACCACTATCAGCTGCGTTGTCTTCCTTGCCTTCATCTCCTTATAACTTGACCAGTGAAGAATGGAATGTGTTACAAGAATGCGTGATTATTTTGAGACCAGTGGAGCAGCTTACTACCATTTTATCTGGTCAACAGTATCCTACATTGTCGTGTGTTATCCCGCTTATCCGAGGTGTTCAATCATCCCTCAAGAGCTATTCAATGTCCACTAATATAGCGATATCTTTACAAAATAAACTTATAGAAACCATCGAAAGGCGTTTAGGCGTTTATGAAACTAACAAAACAGCAGCTAAAGCCACATTTCTTGATCCAAGATTCAAAAAGGCTGGTTTTGGAAAGGAAAGAAATGCTGAGAGTGTTCAGAGTTGGGTAATTGAGGAATTAACATGCCATGAACATGAATCATTCACCGCTAGTGAGTTTCCATCATCATATTCAACCGCGCAGCTGCAGCACTTGAGTTCCGATGCCCAAGTTTCTCCGAATTCAAACCAACATCTCCAGCGCCAGACAGGTGCGAATGATTCAGCGAATGATTTATTGTGGAACTATTTGGATAAAAAAGTGCAACAGCAGTCGAATATGGCTACTCCCACCTCCTCTGCTATCGTCAAGGTGAAACAATACGTTCAACTTCCTTACCTACAACGAAATATGGATCCGTGCGAATTTTGGGAGAGTAGAAAAATTATTTCCAAAGGTTTGTACAAAATGTCTCAAAAGTATTTGTGCATTCCAGCGACTTCTGTTCCTTCCGAACGAGTTTTTTCGACAGCGGGGTTGTTATGCAACAACCGTAGAAATAGATTAGAACCGAAAAAGGTTGATCAAATATTATTTTTGAATAGTCATCGTAAAAATAAAAAAGTGTACAAAAATCCTATCTGAACTGTTATTTTAAATTTCACTATAAAGTTATCAAACAAAGTACATACTTTGGTTTGTATTTATTTAAATGTAATATCGTAGATATTAATTGCCAAAGATGAAAGGAATTTTAAATTCCAAAGGAGTAATTTTATTGTTTATGAATCTAGATCTCATGGAATATTGTCGTTACAATTGAAGTACTAGTTGAACTTTTAAAGTACTGAAGATTTATTTGTTTTAACTCATTATTTACTTTGGATATTTTTTTTATGACAGACTACTAAGTTCTAGTTCTACCATGATAAATAAAGCAACTGTTATTGAACCCTATATTTATTTAATTTTAATTATTATTTGTAAGTATGTCAGAATTGGAAAAGACCTCTCCGAGCCGTTCGCCACAAAACGGGGTTTCAGACAGGGCGACTCCCTTTCATGTGACTTCTTTAATCTGATGTTGGAGAAGATAATAAGAGCTGCAGAACTGAACCGCTCAGGAACAATTTACTACAAGAGCGTGCAATTGCTGGCTTATGCTGATGACATCGACATCATCGGTAACAAAAACTGCGAAGTCTGTTCTGCCTTTTCCAAGTTGGATAGGGAAGCAAAGCGCATGGGTCTGGTGGTAAACGAGGACAAGACGAAGTATCTCCTGTCATCAAACAAACAGTCAGCACATTCGCGCCTTGGCACCCACGTCACTGTTGACAGTTACAATTTCGAGAAAGTAGAGAATTTCGTTTACTTGGGAACCAGCATTAACACCGATAATAATGTCAGCATTGAAATCCAACGTAGAATCACTCTTGCCAACAAGTGCTACTTTGGACTGAGTAGGCAATTCAGGAGTAAAGTCCTCTCTCGACGTACGAAAACCACGCTCTATAAGTCACTCATCATGCCCGTGCTGGTATATGGCGCAGAAGCATGGACAATGACAACATCCGATGAGGCGGCTCTTGGGGTGTTTGAGAGAAAGATTTTGCGGAAGATTTACGGTCCTTTACGCGTTGGCGACGGCGAGTACCGCAGACGATGGAACGATGAGCTGTATGAGCTTTACAACGATATGGACATAGTGCAGCGAATTAAAGTACAGCGGCTCCGCTGGCTTGGTCATGTCGTTCGAATGGACACCGACGCTCCAGCTCTGAAAGTATTCAACTCGGAACCCGCTGGTGGTAGCAGAGGAAGAGGGAGGCCCCCACTGCGATGGAAAGATCAGGTGGAGAAGGACTTGGCTTCACTTGGCGTTTCCAATTGGCGTCAGTTGGCACAGAGGAGAAACGACTGGCGTGCTTTGCTGAACTCGGCCAAAATCGCTTAGGCGGTTACAGCGCCAAAAAAGAAGAGAAGAATTAAAAAGTCGGCATTTCGGTTGTGTGCATGTTCAGCAGTCGAATCTATAACGTATTCGAATACCGAGCTCTGAACTCGAATACTTGATCCGAGTATCTGACTCGAATCCTGACTCGATTCTTTTTTTAATGAGTACCAAAATACTCGAGTACCAAAAATAGCCGACTCGGCACATCACTAGTTCGCGAAATGAAGGCGATTGGTTTTTGATCTTGGGAAAGGACTGCACCGATGGCATAATTTGAGGCATCGGTGGTTAAATGGAACTCTTTACTGAAATCAGGGTATGAGAGTATAACATCGTCAGATATAAGGGATTTTTTTATTTTGTTGAAGGCATCTTTTGCCTCGTCGTTCAAATCTATATTTACTTTAGCTGACTTGTTTTTAGATATACGGCCTTCTTCCCCTCTTAGAAGTAAGGTTAGAGGTTTTGCCAACTTGGCATAATCTTTTATGAAGCGGCGGTAATATCCTGAGAGACCTAGGAATGAGCGGAGTTGTTTTATATTTTGTGGGTAAGGTATTTGTGCAACTGCTTCTACCTTTGCGGGATTTTTTGTTATGCCTTTTGAGGATATAATAAATCCAAGGAACTCTACGGAGTCCCTGAAAAAATGGCATTTGTCCAGCTGAATTTTCATGTTCGCATCTTCGACCGTTTTGAAAATTTCTTGCAGGTGGAGGGTGTGCTCTTCTTCAGAGTTACTGAAAACAACTATATCGTCGATATAGACGTAGCAAATTTTGCCAATTTGATGGCGAAGAATGTCATCTAGGGCCCGTTGGAATACTGAGGGGGCATTCTTTAATCCGAATGGCAGTCTTGTGAACTCGTATTTGCCATTATTTATTGAGAAAGCTGTTTTCTCAATATCGGATTCCTTGAGAGGGATTTGGTGAAATCCGCTCTTCAAATCCAAGATGGAAAAATATTTATTTTTCCCAAGCTGGGACAGTACTTCGTTAATTTGCGGTATTGGATAGCGATCTGCTATAGTGATCGCGTTAAGTTTGCGATAATCGATTACTATTCTGTACTGTTTGTTACCCTGAGAGTCGGGTTTTTTCGCAACGACCTAAATGGGTGAATTATACGGTGACCTTGATGGTCGAATAATACCGTCGTCTAACATTTTTTTAATCTGGGATTCAACTTCATTTTTTAGCGACATTGGGTAGGGGTAATATCTTGTGTAGACGGGGGTGTCTTTATTGGTACGGATTTCGCCTACGACTTTGGTAGTGTATGTGAGTTTATCATTAGGTTCGGAAAATAGATTTGGAAAATGATTTACTAAATTATCGACTTTATTTCGTTGATTTGTTGACAAATGGTCGTCATTGAGTTCAATTTTATTAACAGATTTTGACTGAAATTGTTTTAGTTTTATTTTGGTATTCCCTTGTATTTCCATAAAGTTATCTTTGACGTGAATAACAGCTTCTAGCTCTTTGAGGCTATCATTCCCGAGGATTCCATGAAATGATCGAAGGGTGGGGAGTAGGTAAAATTTTAATTTTTTATTTATGTGGAACAGATTTAAGAAAGTGTGCTCTTTAATTTCGATGTCTCCCGCTATAGATTTTGCAAAAAAAAATTTCTTCGTTTTTAATGGGTTTTGGTACGATGGATGGTTGGATGTAATTTTTTGTTGATCCTGTATCTATAAGAAATTTTACGATGTTTCCACTCTTCAGCTTGCACTCGATATATGGCAGCGAAGAGTGATTCATTCTAAAAAATGTAGATCAGTTGTATCTATGAACTCATCGGTTAATTCACTATTATTATGGTTATAGGTATTATCATTATTATAGGTATCATTAGTATAGGTGTCATTAGTATTAGTTTCATACTCTTGGTTAGTGGGATTATAATCGTCTAGGTTGTACTGGTCTTGTTTCGTCGTTTGTTCAATGTGGAAGCTTCTTTGTATTTTGTTAGGGGGTGCGGGAGGGTTAGTGTTAGGTGGTCTTTTGTTAGTAGGATCATTGGGACGTGGCCTGTTCATGTAATTAAGGTTTCTTGTTCGTAGGGATGGATCGATATCCATTGGTTCTGGTCGTGGTTGAGGTTTTTGGGCTGGACGAGGTGGTGGGTTATTAGGACGTGGGATGTACTGATTTTGTTGGTAAGGATGTTGGTATTGGTAGGTTGGTTGGGGATGTTGGAATTGGTAATTTGTTTGGGGAAATTGATATTGATAATTCGGTTGGGGAGGCCTGTAGGGAGGAGTTGTGTTCAACCTGGGTTGAGGCATGAATGCCAATTCGGGGTAAAACTCGTTATTAATTCCTTTGGGAGGAAGGGGTGGACGGATGTCCAAAGTTCTCCTGGGTTGGCCATTATTTACTAAGGCATAGTGGGACCTGAAGTTTTGGTTTTCAAGTTTTAGACACAAGTGGAGGGCTTGAGGGAGATCAGCGGGTTCCCTCATTCCTAGGAATCTTGGCAAGTCTCCTTTAAGCCCACGAACGAACGTGTCCAGCGCTTTGTCCCTGTATGTGCGGGTAAGCAGATGCATGGCTTCTGTGCCGACATCCATGCAGCCGAGCTTATTAAGAATAAGCGACATGTGCGAGTATACTCGCTGGTAAAATTCCTGAATTGTCAGGTTACCCTGCACAAGCGACGTCATCTGGTACTCGAGAGTACCTAAGTCGCGCTTATCCGCATAGTGCAGCGTTAAGCATCTGGAAATTGCTTTTCAGTCTAGTGGAGTATTGTATGACTCCAAGGCAATGTCGGCGTTTCCGACAATTTTATTGCGGATAACGTTGAGGATCCCATAGTATTTGGGAGATCCCCTTTGTGGCTCATAGATCTGAAGGATCCTGTCCACGCTTTTCTTCCACGAGTTGAATTCTCCAGGTGCCCCTGAGAATTCGCGAAGACACCTTACCACATCGGGTATCTTGTCTAATTCCGAGATGTTGGGAGAAGCTGTGTCTATAGTTATATCCGTAACATCGGAAAAACTCGCGTTGGGGTTGAGGGCGGCTTGAACCATGTTTCGCCCTTGTTGTTGGAACATATTGGTTACGATGCCAGATATGACCTCCGTCAACTGGTCCATCGATAAGTGAGTAGTATTAGCAGGGGTAGCGAGTGTGGGAGGTGGTGCGTTTAGCACAGGTGGTCGAATAAGATTTTGAGGGTTTGACACTTTGAGTTTACTTAGCCTATTCTTTTCACTTTATTATTTATGTATATTTTTGATGTTTTGTGGAACTTCAACAATCTCTGGAGGGTCCCTTTGGTGGTGAATCGCAGAGTTGTTTTTATTTTATTTCTAGAGATTTCTTTAAATTATGAGCTGTACAAGCTCTTCAGTTAAAAATTGTTTTCTTTGTGTTATTCAAGGACAAAAGGTTTTAATATATTCACTTGATTTTACCTTAAAAGGAATTAATTAAAAAAAATATCTTTTCTAAATAGGAAATTTATCTTTACTTAATTAATTTAAAATTTTTTGTTTATTATTTCTTAAAAATTTTCACTTATGTTTTTTATTAATTTTCCCTCAATAGGACTAGGATAATTTAAAATTTATTTTCAATCGGAAATTCGGATTCACTTAATTTACTTTTTAGTTTGTCTTAAATCTATGCTTACATTAATGGCAGCATCCGGCGGCTAACGACTCGCGTTTCCCGTTTGCACATTTGTGAGCTACTAGGGCACCTTTTCTCCTTCGCTGACTCTGAGTTAACTTAGTTACTTAGCTGGTTAAAGGACCTACGTCGTCTTTGGCGTGCTATTCCACCCTTTATGCGCTGGAGTTATTACGAAATCGGCGATCTTTCTGCTCCAAGTATCACGAAATTTTA